CATTGCTTGAGAACCAGAAAGAGAAGGGAGACTGGGAAGGTGGCGGGGGGGGGGACAGAGAGTGGGAAGGTTAGGAAAGAAAAGTGTTAAAAATGTAAAGGCTGGAGGATAGTATTTATTGTATATTTAGTACAGGACCATTCAGTGCCTGCTTTGTGTTTGTGCAGCAGCTGCATGAGCATGTCAATGACAAATAAGCATGAGAGGTGAGGGAAAGGGACCTACTTCTGCAGTAGTTATTCAAAAAAAAAAAAAAAATCCACTCATGTGAAGCCTGCAGAATCAAACTGCATATAGAAATATTTTTATGTGTTTATTTGGAATGTATTTGAGAATGAAAATATGTAATTGAAGAGCTCTGTGCATGTAGTATACCTGTATAGTGAGATTCCCGATGTATTATTCATTTATTCAAATCAAATTCCTTAGGGAAATTTAAGACAGGACAAAAGAGCACTCAAAATGAGTGGAGTGACATTAATGAAGTTGCTTTTCCTAGGTGAAGGTGGCTTTTGCTTTTAAGAGGGACTTACAAATATCACCACTATATCTTTATTTTAAGCAGTAGGTTTAACAGCAGTAGAGGTTAAAAGGGAAAATCCTGTCTGGCAATCATTCTGTTTCTCAGTTGGATTCCTAGCTAAGCAAATATCGAACCAGAGAAGTCCATCGCAAACTTCCTTCCTTTTCTGTGATTGTGTTCTGGCCCAGGGTGTAATCATCGATTCTGTAAAGGTCTACAAGTTACAGGTTTTTTTAGATTTAATTCTCCCGTGTTTTAGGGAGTGAAGGGCTTTTATTTAAAATAATCTGATAGAAAGCTGCACACTCACAAAGATGTAGATTTGCTGATGTTTTTCACAAGGCACTTCTTAGTAGATGAAGTGTGTAAGCTTAGCCATGGGTTTGTTTTCTCAGTTGTGTGTCTCCACAGCTTCCTCCAAAATGTGAATGTTTTTGGCTTTTGTGAGGAAATCAGTTTCCAACCAGTGACACTCATTGTTTTATTAACATATTGTAGGTTAGTTCTTACTCTGTGTCTCTACATGTTGTTTCAATGCGTATAATAACATGCGCTGGTTAATAACCTCTACTGTGGCAGAAGGAGTGCATATCTGCTCTAGTTAGGAATAAGCAGGGAGACATTGGAAGTCAGTCATTTAACCACAGCTCTGTACCTTGAACATGGTTTCATCATGTTAAGGTAATGTTGTTCGAATAGAGATTGGCTACTAGACTGAATGTAATGTTGTTAGATAAAGCTTGTTCAGGTCATTAATGCCTGTTCTCCAGGGTACAGCATAATGTCATCCAAAAGCTTCAGGCAATTAACTTAGCTAATGATGACTGAAAATGTAGAAGATTTGTTCCTGACTGTTGTCAGTTTTTCATGAGTTGGGGCCAGTAGGGGACCTAGTTGAAAGGATTTCAAAAGTATTTCAGAAGCTGGCCTGGTTTTGATCTTCCCTGAGGTGAATGAGGATGTGCGCGATGCTCTGGGTCTTGCTTGAAGCCAGGGAGCATCTCCGATGTCTCATCCTTTCAGCAGAAACTCTCATGTGGCAGATGTGCACCCTGCAAAGAGGTTTTTTCACTTAGCAAAAACCAGCTGCTTGCATTAGACCTTTGCTTTGGTGCAGAAATTATGAGATAGGACGTGCTTGCTTTCTACCAGAGCTGTAACTCCTTTTCTCCTTTTCCATCTTGACAGACAGCTCTCCTTAGCCACGTGTTTGCCCCAGCTCCTGCCAGGACACTGATTCCTCCAGGAGAGCCTCTTCTTTTAGATATCCCGCCTCCCTGGAGATGGCTCTCCAAGGTTGTTGGTTTACTGACTAGCCTCAACTTCCCGTGCCCAAAACCAGGGAAACTTGGTCAAGTAAAGACTTAATTCACAGCTCCTGTGATCAGGCTTCTAGCTGCAACGAAAACAAATAAAAAGCCTAATTCTTGTCTGTATTTGATAATGGTGTAAGCAAAGAGGAAGGTAAAAGCTGTATGATAGTTGCTAGGGGGCTACTGAGAACCATCCCACTTGTAAATAGAGCTCTGTTTTGAACAGCTCTCATCTGTCCTACCAACCCACATATGCATTTCTTAGAATTCGTGTTTGGGAACAAATCTGAATGTTGATCCGGAGTATTGTTGGGTACTTAACAGTGATTTCCTCCCACCCACCCCTGACTTCAATTCATCAGTTAAGAGGTGTACAGACATACTTACTATTAATCCCTCCTCTTGGATCTGGACTCTTAGCCACTTGTTGTCTTTGGTCTGTAGGTGGCAGTTCTTCACCCTGTCTAAACTATTGGCTTTGCTCTGCATGGTTGACCCACTCCCATCAAGTGTACAGGGCATCAATTGTAGCAGGATGTATGACACTTACTTCTAGCAAGTTTGCAGAAGTTAGCACATGCAACAAACCTGATTCCTTATGTCCTGTCCAGACTACTTCCAGCTCTATGTTGTGTCAAGTTTTTCGAAGTTTCTGTGTCTGTGATTTTCATTTAATTAGTTCACAAATTGCTTTCTTCTCACCTACCTCCCACTTCTTTTCTGTTCTGGGTCTCTTTGGGTGGTGGGGGGAGCACCTGAGTAAGTAGTAGTGTAACTCTCACCAGAAAATCTTAAATATTGCCATCTAATATAGTTCAATCTCCGTTTCTTTGGAGAGTGTCAGCAGTGCAGGAGTACAAAAACAGGAGAAGGTGCATGATAAAAGATCCTTGTACTGGACAGTCCCAGCTGGCAGAAACATATCAGTAGAGAAGGCGTGAGTAAATGTAAGAGACTTTTATGAAAGGGAAAGAAAACTTCAAATTGAATCTCTCAGTATTTAACTTTAGACTGTGACCCCATTTGTCTGACCCCATTTCTCAAAACCTGTTTCTTAGGCCTCGGATAGACCTTTCCAAAATGCTCAGGTCTCATCTTCAAACTGTTTTGGACACTTAAAAGGTGATTGGACAGTGGTGAGATCTGGGCATCTACATCACCATGGGCAAGGTTAAAATTGTATTATGCAGAGTATCTTAACAGTGTACGTAAAGCAGGAAGATGAACAGTCCAGAGGTGACCATACTGAAGACTTACATAGACAAATGCATTTAACTTTCAAAACTTGCTGATAGTAAGGTTCGTTTTTTTTGGTTTTTTTTTTGGGGGGGAAAGTGAAAGCCTCTTTTGTTTGTAGTTAGGTGTTTCCAGAACACTAGCAACCCGTGGCTGAACAGAGAACAGAGAAACTAAACAAAAGTGCAATGCTGAGTCTGTGTTTCATTACCCAAGCGGCAGCTGTCCTTCCAAGTCCCTTTGGTTGGCCCCAGGGCTAGAGGGAAGCAGCTCTGCCTACCACTGACTGTGTGCTGGCACAAATGTTTGTGTGGCAAACAAGATGGAGAGGAGCGCAGTGAGCTGGATTAAATGTAATTCCTTCTGCCTAAACTTTAATCTATTCCTAGATCTGACTCCCTGTGTGGCTTGAAGAAGGCATGTGCTGGCTGAGGAGGTGGTGTGGTTGCTGTTTGGTCAAAATCTGTTTATGTCAATTTCCTGTCAGCTTTGAGTGTTTTAAAGAAACTTAAAAAGTAACTCAAGCAGGGAAGGGAAAATAACATAGTAACACCATTGAGTAAAAGAAGATGACTGTTTAATGACAATGTATAACCTTCCATCGAGGAAATTCCACTAATGTAGATGCTTACAGATACATTTCACTGATGCTATCCCATGTTATGGGTTCCACCCATCAAATTCAAATACGACCATTTCATCTGCTGCAGGAATATTTGGATCAGGGCCACAGCCTTGAACATCCTGAATGGGACAGGGGCTTCAGAGGGTTCAGTTTAAAGTTGCAGAAAACACAGCTGCAGCCAAGGCTGGCAGCAGAGTGTTTTCTCCAAGTTGCATGAAATGGGCACGTTGCTGTGGAAGGAACTTTTCCAGGCAGCAGCAGTTCTGCTGGGTAAAATGCTTGACTGTTGTACAGCTTCTCCTGCAGTAAACTAACCCCTTGCTCTGCCAAAGAGCAGCTGTAGGAGCGCCTCTTTCCAGCAAGCCTAGGAAGAGCTGCCTCCAGAGGTTGAGCAGATGTTGAGATCCACTGCGTGTGCATGGTGCCTCAGTTGGCAGTCCTCACTGGAGTGGATGAGCTTTACCTGGATGAGTGTGAGGACTCTAAAGGGGAGAAACGCTGTGGGCTTGCTGACCTCTCTGGCTCTTCACTCATCGTTGTCGTTAGACCACTTGCATGAGTGGTCAGACTGTGAACAGAAGTCCCTGGATATACTTATTACCTATTGAAAGCAGTGTTATTTACATCATCATCTTTAGTTATGTTATGTGCCGATCCTTTCCCTGCCAGGAATTAAAGAAGGAAGGGTGCTGTGAGTAGTCGCTTGGCACATCCCTGTACAATCTGTAATGACTGGCTGTGCTGTCACTCACATTGCATGCTAGGCTTACTGACAGCCTGTCCAACCAGGAGCCAAATTATCATGCCAGTGAGCTGGGATCAGGGCCTCTTTGCTGTCTGCGTGTCATAAATTTTTAGCCTTCAGAGCTCTTGAGGAATAGGAGGAGCTATGTGTGGTGAAAATGGGCCTGTTTCTTTCTTCCACAAGCCTGTTTTGTTCTTCGTGTTCTCTTTTACTACTTGCATGCAAATATTACGAAGTGTGGATGCTAATTTTACATGTATTCAGATAATATTTTTAATATTTAAATTGCAATTTTTAAATGAAACTGCTTTTTCTCAGTATCACTGTGGAAAATTTTTGCTCCCTCCTTCCATGCCATCTCATTTCCCTTCTCCCCCTTCCCCTCGCCCCCGCTATACCAAGATATGTGGCTATGTGGTTTATGTTCAGCATTTCAGCTTAATTGCAGCCCTTTCTTTGCCAAGTGCTGTTGGGGCAACTGATGCTTCTCAGCACACTAGTGATTTGTGAGTTTGCATATACTGTGTATACTCATGTGTGTGTTGTTGTTTATTCCAGAGATGGTGATGTTGCTGGAATGGTGGTCAGGCACCAGCTGCACCCTCTACACTGACCCAGAGAGTTACCACAAGTACGGGAAAGAGAATGCCATCGTAATCCTTAATCACAACTTTGAAATCGACTTTCTCTGTGGTTGGAACTTTTGTGAAAGATTTGGGGTCTTGGGGGTGAGTTCTGTTTAGCGTTTAAAACAAATTTCCTCTTCAATGATGCAGAAGAAACCCCCAAAAATTCTTTATGTTTTTGTAAGTTAACAGAGCTTTGTTCAGATTTCAGCTGCTGTTTAGACTCTGAGAGATGAACTTAAAGCAATGCAGTGGAAGTATATAAAACACTGAGACAGAAGTGCTTGAGCATCACAGAAATTTTTAAAGCATTGCAGTTAAAATTGATAAAGGAGATATTTTTAACCTGCAGAGCTTATTACAATTGTGTGTGCTTGCTAGGTACTTATTATGGTTCTTTGTGCTGCAGAAAGATGAGCTGTTCCGTGATTCTTTCCCAGTAATTTGTAGAATTTGTCTGCCTTCTCCGGTGTCATCTTACAAATCCTCCAGTATGTCTAGGACAGCTAGCGCTTGAATGATGCAGTCTCTGTTACCTCTCAGAGTGAAAGAGCTGCCAGCTCCAGTGAAAGCAGTAACCAGGTTAGACTGAAAGGGCGGGGGTGGTAGAGATAGTGAGATTACCTATAATTGAATATGTTACTACATTAGGCTAGCAGTACATGTGTGCTTGTTTTCAGGGTGTTTTTTGTTTCCCCTGTCAACTTGTGGGGATGATTCAAGCTCCCCTCTTAAGCCAGCTTGACTTAATTCTGTGGTGGTGATGACATTTTCTGTCTCCAGGGAATTTAGAAAACAGTTTCTCCCTCCTATGAACGCAGACTAGTAACTCATTTTGACAGGCTTCTATAGCATCCTCTTCTAACTTTGCTACTGGCCACGGTCAAAGCCATGGTGTTGGATTGTATGAAGCTGTGACTGGTTATGGCCTTTCATTTGGGCCCTTTGAATTTCCTGGATATTTAGGCGTGACTTCAGTGCCTTTCATATTACAATACAATTACAAAGTGCAAGCGTTATAGGCTCAGCATATTACTGAAACGGCTGTTGGCTCCCAATTACTCGGGAACGATTTGCCCGTAACGTTTAGGACTTGAGCACTGAGTTGGAGGGTATCATCAAAAACAGCAGTGTATGTAGGGAACCCTACTCGTGGCAGAGAAAATGTACGTGCCGAGAGCATTCTGCCTTCTATGTGTTCATTGTACCACAGTACGTTAGTGTAGCCTTTCTAACTTTTTAAGCCTGATGGCCACAGTTCTTAAATAAAGCTGTCTTTTAGAGGATCATGAATTAAGTTCCTCAGTAAGCAACACTGTAAAAGAAATGAAATAATTATTTCTGTATAAGCAAGTAAGGGCCTACAGGTTCAAAAATCTCTCGTTTTACGTTGGTGCTGCATGGTTGGATTGAATCTCATTAGTTTTAATGACTTTTTTTTTAATAGTTTCCCAAGATAACCAAAATTATGTTTTTTTTTTTTTATATTCTTCCCTACTCATAAGAAAACCACTGCGTAGAAGCATGAGTGTTGGACAGTTGTGTACTCTGCTGCACTAAGTGGAAATAATTCTTCCTGTATTTGTATACTTCGAGTTAATACTCAGTTTGTGTTTCTGTTAATCTTTTATACATATAAACTATTTCAGTCTTTTCAGTGATGCACTGTGGGTTTAACTTCCCAAAACTGTAATCTGTAAAACGTGCAGAACCCCCTCAGTTATCACTTTTTGATGGGAACTGAAGGTGCTTGGAAGGAGACTGATCTCTAGGCCTGAGTTTTACAAAGCTTTAAGCTGGTGCTGCTCACGGAAGATGTGATACTGCCCTGACCATACCTTCCCATGCACTCTCATTAGCGTATATGCCTTTACACTGCAAAGCAGTGTATTTCCCTGACGGGGGAATCAGTCCAGGTTCGTCTTAAGCCAAGCTTAAAACGAAACAAAACACCACAGAACAAACCCCACCCCTGCAAATCCTATCCTGGATTAGATTCCTGATTGGATTGACTGTGCTAGCACACTGGTACTTGTGCTGGTGCAGTGCAGGAGTGGATGGGTGTGTAGGGTTGGGGGGTATAAGCTGGTTTGCCTTTGTGCTGCCTTAAACCAATGTGCATTGCACAAAACTGCAGGGTTTGGTGTGGCAGCATGATTAAGAATACAAGAACTGTTATGTAGAGGGATGGTCCTACCCTATCTTGATCAGAGACCCAAAGCAGATGTTTGGGAAAGGAGTTTCAAGACCAAGGCAAACATACAGACAGACTTCCCCTAAGTGCTGTCCCAGCCTCCAGCAGTTTGTGGCTCAGGGACTCTGTGGGCCAAAGATGGGGTTTTATGTTCAATGTTGTTCAGGGGCTTTCTCCGCCATGAAGTTTGCATGGAAACTTTTAGCATCTACAGCATATCAGTAAGCTGAGCTCATGTCTACTGCTGTTGAAAGGGGAAGTCTTGCACATCTCATCCCATCTCATCCAGCTGTTCTTGTGCTTGTCTGCCCTGTGGTGCCATGTTTCAGGAGGCCCTTCTCTCCCTCCCACCATAACTAGTCCAATGAGAAAAGCAGGGCTGACTGAGGAGGGAGAAGGTGAAGGCAACTCATGGCTGAAGGAGTGGGACTACCATGTTTGGCTGCAGCGAACAGGCAGAATGGCTTTGGTGAGAGTGACATCCAGCTGTACCCTGCAGCCTTGGCAAACAATGGCTGTGTTCTTAACGATGTTGCAAATACGTACTCAAAATCTCTGTATTTTACAGCTTGAACTTTTGTTAAGCAAAACCAATACGTCCTGTATTTTTTTGGTGGTTTTTGTCTGTTTAAAAAAAAAATTAAAATGTACTTGCCCATCTCGTCCCCAAAAGAGGAGTCCTTCCCTTTTTCTTAGCTTTCTTCAACAGGATATAAAAGCTGTTCCTCCTGGTTTTGGTTGCAACAGACATTCAATCTGTTCATTGTTGTGCTCGCTCTTTTGTTTTTCTTTGCCAGGACTGGCTTTCTCCCTTCACCTTATAGCCAAATTGCCTTAATCCCAAAAGATGTCTTTTTGATTTTTTTTTTTAGAAATATTATATTTTTGGAACACCCGTTCACAGTCCTAGGAGGTACTGGGTTGGCAGGGCTGAGTGAGAGACAAACCTATTCAGCTGTAGTGAAGGAAGAGAAAACCACCACATAAAGCAGCAATTGTGTCTGCACTTGCTTTCAGGCTTACAAGTTATTTTAGTCACCCAGGTTGTCTCACGGATTGCAGTTGGGCTGTGTGCAGCTGAAGTTACTGATGTGTAAGTGTTTGCAACACCAGCCACAGGAGATCTTTACTCAGTCCAAACTTATAAATGACTTGCATCTATATTCTACTTCTGGTTCTGTGAAGGGCTCTTCCTATTTGGTTGTTTTCAGCCTTTGACAACCATCAATCACATTTATCTGTCTTCTTGCCCTGCCACGTCTGAGTGACGTGTGAAGGGACGGAGAGCCAAAATGAGACTACGGGGGGGCTGGATGCTCGATGCTAAGTCCGCCTCATGCTTCGGTGAGCAATGCAGACTGCTGGGGAAGGCCCAAGTTTTGACTCTGGCCAGCATAGATGCAACTGCAGCAAGCGGTGAAGGAAGGAGCAGCGGTGCCAGCTTGGGTTTCTGTAGAGTTGGAAGCAGCATAGCCACAACAGGGAAGAGCTGTGCTCACGCCAGTATTTTCTAATGAAAGGCTGGGCTGTTGCTGCAGCCCTGAGCCAGAATGACCATGGATGTTGTGTTGTGGGTGCCCTGCTTTTTCACACTGTGCCAGTACACTGTCTAGGGGAAATGCTGACTTCTGTGGCTATGCGTTGCTTTGTTGCATGAATGCAGCCATGGTCCTAGTCGCTGGTCCCTGCACTGTGCTGTGCCCTTCAGTTTTCTTGCCTTGTGACATTCATTGGAGTCCTGGTACTTTTCGTCCTCTTCGGTGGTGGACAGCTGAGCTACTGTATCAGCATTTAAACACATTTACAGCATTTAGCTTTGAGGTGTGTGCTAAGGGACTCCAGTATCCAGACCCCTTGGAAAAGGGGCCCGCTGGCTACCAAACCTCTAAATCAACACACAGGCATGTTCTGAGGAGGTAGATGTTACTCGGGACTTGCACCAAAAACACATTAATACACTACCTGCCAGGATTCACTGTGTTAGCTGTAACCTGGTTCATTGCTTGATACATCCAAGCAGTGATAAAATAGCTTTTTTAGTAACCTTTTTCCTGAGGTGAGGATTTTCTTAAAGTGAAGGCTATTTTTGGTAATCTGCTGGTTCACCTGTTCCTCTTCCAATGTCTTGATTTTTCACGTTATTTGTGATGGTCTTTCTACCTCAGCATAACATAACATAAACGTTACTCTAAATGACTCATACTGACATCAAAATAGGTGCCTTTCAAAAAGAGGCCACAGTTGTCAGCATAGCTTTATTTCTTAGCAGGGGGCAAGTGCAGAAAAGAGCTATGAAGAGCTGCAAAATTGTAAAATAACTTATTTTAACTTTCTCCTCAAAAATTGCTGAGCATATATGATCATTTTTAACCCTAATTAAACCACTAGACCAGGAAAATCTGATTTTTTAAATGCAAATTGTTCTTGTTGAAGCTTGCTGTGGGAAAAACTGAGCATGGCCATAAACATGGGTGTGAGAAGAGATTTTTTTGCTAGATCACTATATGGAACTGATACTGGGCTTGATAGGTCTGTGAACTTCAATTACTTTTTAAGACTACTTCCTATATGCATTTTAATTACTACATTATTAAAAGCTATCATGGTTGTTCGTTCATGTAGGCAGGCAGCTACATATTATTTGGATTTAACGTCCTATCTTAGGATATGTTTGGACACATATCCTCTAAAATATTACTTCCACTTGCTTTTTGGATTAGAATTCTGATATTTTAAAGTCTGAGAGGGAGAACCACTCAACTGTTTTTTCTGACTGTATTCTGGAGGTCTTGTACAGCATCTGCAGAGCACATTTACATTTGTTTATGGGCTTATGATACGGAGCACTTATTGTAAATAAACTTTTAGAGAGTGTTTCTTTTCTCTCTTTTGTTTGGGTGATGGAGTTGCTGTTTAACTCATTCTGCGATGGCTTTGGTTAGGATGCCAGCAGCAGTTGCTGGCTAATGGCTTCCCTGGTTGTGACTAAGGTGGGTAGTGGTCCTGTAAGGCTGAGGTTCACCAGAGGTTTTGGCCTTACACCCCTCAGCTAGAAACATTTTAGATCTATTGGGGTTTCTTTGGTGCAAAGCATTGGCCCAGCTGTCTTTCTCAGACTTTCACAGGAGAGAGAAATGGAAAAGCATATGAACTGGTGTGTGTATGTTTTGAATGGAAATTGCATGGTACATGGTCTATAATAAAAAACACTCTTTGAAGGCTTTTAAAAGTATATGCTAGAATAATTTAGGTATATTTTGGAAATAAGAAAAGGACCTGTAGCGAGAGAGACTGAGAAGAGGAAAAGCAGTGCTCTGGAAAAGGATCTGAGAGCTAAGGAAAGTGATGGGAAAAGAGCCTGTATCTCTGTAGCCAGTTCAGATTGCTGGAAGGGGAGGTTGGGCTCAGCATTGCTGCTGCCATGCAGTAGGGGCTGACATCCGAGATGCCTTAAATGACTGAATTCGCAAAAAGCGTGCTTCAGCTCTGGCTGCCGAATTTTCCTGCTGCTCCGTGTGGGAGAACAGAGTTTGGAGTTCTGACCTGGGCCCACTGCTGAAATTCTCCAAATATTTGAGGGAGAGAGAGAGAGCGCTATGTTACAATGTGTTAAATCCTTTGACAGAATTAATCCCTGCACTCAGGGGAATAGAATTGGCTCATATCTTTTTCCTGCTCTGTTTCTGTGTAAGTTACTAGCGAAGCTATGTGATGTGCACTTACCTTCAAGTCTCAGGAGCTTTTAGATAGCTTAAATATTTAAGGTATTTTCCTTCTCAAGGAAGGAGAGAAGATGAGAGAAACGAGCTGAGATAAAGAATTAGGTCAAGTCCCTTTTCCCTAGTAATCAAATGAACAACAATGGCCAAAAAATGAAAGCAAATGGGTTTCTTAGGGTGATAATTGCTTAAATAATTGCTGCTAGTGAAATGTCACGTCCTGGAACCTGTCTGAGGAGCGCTGGGATGGAACGGCTTATAATCATATACCAAATCACAGAATCACAGAATCGTTTAGGTTGGAAGGGACCTCTGGAGATCATCTAGTCCAACCTCCCTGCTCAAGCAGG